TATATATATATATACTCATCAACAAACTTTCAGCAATTTTTGTTGGACCGAAATTTGAAAGGAAATGAGAGTGAATATGGCACAGATGGGATGGAAATTCTCACTGAAAAAGTAAACAGTAAAGAACACTTATTGTTAGTACTACCCATTTTCGAAAAGCGACGGGAATAATGCAAAAAACAGTTTAAATCCGCGACAGCTCCCTCAATTCGTTAAACGGCAAAATGATCAAGTTTGCTTAAAAAAAGAAAAAATTCAAAAATGAGCGGAGGGAAGCCGAATATAGAGTTGAATTATTCACAATATATCAGAGCTAGCTAAACAATAACCTCACTCAATAATACTCACTATCAATTGAAATCAACAATTCAGATTTGACAGCGGTGCAAAATCGCAAAAACAATGGCATTATTAATTGAGCGTTTAAGGAATTGAGATCAACTTTTGCATAGGTTTGAACATAATAATTATGCTCACATCTTATACCAGTTATCACTAGAAATGAGTTTTTGATGAAGAAGAAATATAATGATCAGATAAATGTAAAAATGCAGTATCAACAAAAATCATGATAATGATGACGTGATCTAGGATAGACACAATGTTAGTGTCAATAAGAATTAAAACTGAAAATAGTCCACGATATTTTAATCGAGTGTGATTTGAAAGACGTCATCATATGACATTTGAATTTACAATGAATCTGCCATAAACTTTTGTTAAGTCCCTCTAAGAGCGCGCGATGAATGTACATCATTAGCATTATTAATCATGAAGCAATCAAAAAGATGAAGTACAAAGTTTAAAAATGATATTATTTGCAATCGCAAACATGAAAAATTAACAAATAACAAGATATTAAAAATGAAATAGACAAACGCCTGGCCATAGCAGAAATATTGTTATAAAAAATATCACGCTAGCCAGCAATCCTAAATATAACGACGAAGGTAATTTCTGAACCTTCAATTCTCAACGAATAATTAACTAACGACAAAGCCTCAACTGAGGAATAATTCTGTCATTTCATGTGCTCTTTTCTACCAAAATCACTATATA